GGGATTCAGTTACCTTATTTAATTCACTATAATTCTAATTGTATCACTGTATAATTAAAAAAATATATAAATACAGCTAGATATTCATATAAAATGTAGTTATTTTTAGTAAATGACATACTTATAGCTATTGAATTTTAATAACCCTATAAATGTAGTCATTTATGTAAGTTGCTCTTTTATTAATTTAAGAAGTTATTTTCACCGGCATTCAAATATACAATTAAATTATGTTAAAATTCACTTTGATACAAATGATGTAATACATGAATACATTTCGTTCTCTTGATACACGCATATAATTGTATTTGAATGTTGAACACAATGGAATACATATACATTTGAATACTTGTAATTTTTATGAATTGTCCAATTAAAAATACAAGTGCATTTGGATACATAAATACATTACATAAATTTGAATGTATACATATACAACACATCTATTTTTTTTATAGAGTGAAATACATATACATTTGGATAATTATATTGTAGCATAGTTCTTTGACATTTTTTTCTAGATTGTCCAATTATATTGATATATTAACACAATTGTATTGAGCAATCTTACGGATACAATTATACTTGTCATGAAGTTCATGTATTTGAAATCGAAACAAACAAGATTCATTCACTATTACAATAAATCAATTTAACTAAAGAAATTTATGTGAAATATCTTTATGCTTGAACAAGAACAACATCGAGAATGAAAATTTGTGTACGATGTATCCAAAAAAAATTAAAACTAATTGGAATCCAAGAGTATATGCATTGACTAGGTAATCAAATACATGAATACATTATATTCTCTTGATTACACACATATAATTGTATTTGAATGTTGAACATAGTGAAATACATATACATTTGAATACTTGTTATTTTTTCATGGATTGTCCAATTAGAAATACAAGTGCATTAGGATACATAAATACATTACATAGATTTGAATGTATACGTATACAACACATTTTATTTTATTTTTGCATAGAGTGAAATACATATACATTTGGATAATCATATTTGTAGTATAGTTCATTGTCATTTTTTTCTAGATTGTCCAATTGTATTGATATATCAACACAATTGTATTGAGCAATCTTAGGGATACAATTATGCCTATCGCGTATTTGAAATCGAAACAAACAAGATTCATTCACAATTACAAAATATCAATTTAACTAAAGAAATGTAATGAAATACCTTTACACTTGAACAAAAACAATAGCGACAATGAAAATTTGTATACGATGTATCCAATTTTTTTTAAAAAGTAATTGAAATCCGAGAGTATACACATTGACTATGTAATCATTAGTTGTTAATGTAATGATGGGAAGTTGAGAATTTCAGCATATAATTAAAGGGATTCAGTTACCTTATTTAATTCACTATAATTCTAAATGTATCACTGTATAATTAAAAAAAATATATATAAATACAGCTAGATATTCATATAAAATGTAGTTATTTTTAGTAAATGACATACTTATAGCTATTAATTTTAATAACCCTATAAATGTAGTCATTTATGTAAGTTGCTCTTAAATGTTCGTGTAATATGGTCACTGGGCCAAGTGGAAGAATGATAAACTTTTTATATTTTTATGTGTGGCCCAATCAATATAAAATCCATAACTAATATTCAATGAAGAACAAATCTCATCTATTGGACTAGTTTCTTGATGGGCGCAACATATTAGATCACAACCTCTATAAATTGGTCTTTTCTCTACCTATTAGGGTTACATCATAATTCTCGGCACTTTTTCTTCACTGACGGCGTGGTAAGGCAAGATTGCGATAAAAAAGTAAAAATCAGTTCACTCCTCTCTGTGATAATTTCTTTCGCTTCAGGTATGTTCTCTATAACATTTTCTCCGTAAGATTATCATCTTCAAAGTTCTAGATATACACTAAGTTTAAATTTGCAGGAATAAAATAAACATTCAGTAAGAAAGAATTTAATTAATTTTGTTGAAATTATGATAAGTAAATAACTATAATCTGTTTTACAATCTATTGAAATAGGTTCAAGTTATGAAAATTTTTAATGTAGAAAAAAACATGAATAATAATAATAATACATCCATTAATATATCTGTTCCCGATGATTCTCAAATTAAGAAATTTCTTAAAGATGAATAAGTATTTAGTAAGTCGAAAATTTTATAGCACCAAATTATTAATGAAAAAAAATGAAATCACTCAGTTAATTTTTTTCTTCATATTTCACTTATTATAGAAATTATTAATAGAGTAATTACTTTTTCTTTTATAACTCTTTTCTTAAATATTGTACCGTTTACTTTTAGAATGAATCTTTATTTTGTCAAGACTTTCATAAATAGACAATTTTAAACATAATAACTAATCAACTTGTTCAAATTCTTATTTCATTTTTCCATTAAATTTATTGATGTCATGATTCAAATCATAAGTCTACACTAGTTGTTCAATGGAAAAATCAAATCTTAAAAGTTAAAGCATGCTAAGACTATGCTCGAATCATCAAGCATTAAGACAAAATACATAATAAATAAATAAAATGTAAAAATCTGAATCATTACATCATTTAGATACTAAGATTTGATTATGAGTTATTAAATGGTAAGATGAATAAAAATTCTCGTTTGGAAGCATTCAAAAGTCAACGTACTAGGACTCTAGCTATCAAATGTCTAAGAATAAAAATCAATAGATAATTTAATGTCTAAAAAGAAAAGACATTTGTCCCTTCAGAGGATTTGTGCCAGCTTATATATATATATATATATACACACCTCAATCAATTATTCAGAGTCACTTATTTGTATATACATATTAAAGGGTCTTTAATTTTATCTATCTAGTCATGACCCCCATGAGACCGTGGGTGTCTATGTACTATATTGATGTGTTACTCGATTCAACACAAATAACCGCTCGTTTGTAAGCTTACATCATACTCGAGTCACTCATCATCATATTATTATACGTATTCTTATCATCTTAGATTATCTCAGTATGCTCTCTGCTCAATTATCTACTAGGACAACACAACAAACACAATATAAATCATAAATGCACAACATAAACCATAAGTCATTAAGGACAATTTCAACAATTCACACCTTATTCATTCAAGTATAATCATTTTCACAAATAGCAATTACAAGATATGTCTAAAGACTAGTCACATGTTTTTTAGGCTCACATCATATACAAGAGACTAATCAAAGTCTAACTCCAAGTAAATTTTAATTTGCTTCAATTGAAGAACTTGAATCACACAAGCTAATAAGCAAAAACTTTTCTTTTTACTCACAACTCAAAATGTTCAAAGTTTAAAACAACAAATATATGAGTATTTAATCACCTACTCTTCAAATAATAGTCTAGACATTCAATCCGACTTAATTCTACCATTTATCAAGATCTATTGATTATACAAAGTTATTTCATCATGCAATAGATTTTTCATGATCACAATGGTTTAACTAATGAATTTTCTACTCCATTAACTTTCTTAGAACAATTTATATGCCGAAGAAACTATTTTATGAGATTTCTTATCATAAATAAACATTTAAACATCAATTTCATCGTAAGAAGTATAAATAATCAATTTAGAACAAAAATACATGTTAATCACACCAATCCACATGCTTTCCACACATATTCAGAAGTTTTAAAATTCCAACTCATTATTCACCATTAAGATCACCTCCTTCGATTCTAGAATGAAATCAAATTACTAGATCGAAGGATCAATGGAGAAAACTTACCTCAAGGAAGAAAATAGCCCTAGTCCTTGAAAATTTGCCTATGAGGGTTTCTAGTTCAAATATTTTTTTAGTTACTATTAGGAAGGATTTGAGAAAATTGACTTACATTTTACTTTCGTTATCCGCTATTAACTAACTACCTCATTATTTAGTCTACCCGCTCGCTATGACGAGTCCCATCTCCCTAGTAGCTCGAAACATAAATAAAGCACGTAGATATGGAAATTAAAAACTTAAGGATGTAATTGATTAAAATAAAAGCTTAAGGACTAAAATCTTACCCAACTCAAAACATGAAGGACCAAAAGGGTAATTGTGGGAGTATAAAGTTGGATGGGCGGTGGGGTAATTAAATTAAGTTATCCACCTTGTTGTTTAAATTGTTGCCTTGTCATTTCTATCCACTTCCTTTTTGCCAGCTGGATTCCTCTTTCAACCTCACGTGTCAACTTCTGTGAACCCAACTATGGGTCCACCCAGCCCGGCCCGACCAAAAAATATATTTTTAAAATTGATGAAATTGGCATATGGATTCCTATTTTTTTTTTGGGACAATTTATTAATATGATTGAAGATAAGACTATTCAGAATCGAACCGTAATAGATAAGTCAATGCTAAAATTGACTTATATTGATATTGAGTTATCAGATTAATAAATCAAAATTTTCTAATTAACGATTTTATTGGTGTGAGGATGATTTACTTATTGGGTAAATCATTAATATTCTTATTTGGTAATCTGTTAACCCATCAAGAATTATCGTAATTACATTTTTACTGTAAGTATATTTATTGAATAAATGCTCATATGCATACATACACACTCAAAATTTAGATTTTCATATATTTTTCACTATGATTTACAATTAGGATCGTTTGGTTGGAAACAAGTTATTTCGAGATAGGTTATTGTGGGATAAGTTATTCCATCATGTATGTGTATGAACTAACTAATTCCATCACTAAGGTATAATAATTTCAAGCCTACTTAATACCTCCAACCAAACGGAGAATAAAATAATCTTGCATTTTATTCATGAAATTATCATATTTTATACCTCGCTAAACGACTCTTTATGTAATTACCAGCTAAAGTAGAACAAAAAAAAATATTTTATATAATTGGAGATTAATATATTAATGAAAATATGAGATGATTGAGTCGATACACAGTCCGATAACCATTGGGGAGAAGTAAATGGTGAAAATGTCCTAACCGTTGGATCTTTGGTGATAAAAGATAGGGAAAGTTGCCTTTTTTTGGTGTTTTTTAGCTACTTAGATTTAAGGAGAGGCAAAGAAAGAAGAAGAAACCAAAAGAAAAATAAAAGAATTGTTTGTGTGGCTATCCGAGTTGGACTCTCGTTGTTCCACCTCACACACAGGTTTCCTCTTTTCTTTTGCTTCCTTATTTCTTCTATAATCAGTTTTCCCACAAAAACTACTGAATTTATAGTTTATACTAATTTTCAGATTTACACAATTTGCTTCTCTTTAATTTTAGTCCACGTCTTCTCTCTCTGTTTTTCTGTTCTAATTTAACCTTCAAGATTGAAATTCATGTGTAATTGAACTATTTGGGGTTGGGGTTTGGGGTGGAGGGCTTAAGGGAACTTTTCATAGTCAGTTTAGATTCAAACAAGTTTATATTTGACCGTAATTTTTTCACGTATCTTTTAAATATTTTAAATTGATAATCATAGTGACTTATACTAGTTTTCAAATATATAAAAAGGATTTCATGTCCAAATTTATGGTTAAATTTAGATTGTTTAGCGGGAAGCGAAAAGTGCCACATAAATAGGGACAGAGAGGGAGTAATTATTTAAGAGTGAACATTCAATTATAATAGTGCTTTTAAGGAAGAACACATAATTAGTTTAGAGTAAACATTCAATTATCATAACATGTCTTGAATTTCAAGTTACTTATGATGTTTACCAATTGTAAGCATTTAGGTAACCTAGTATAGTTATTTGACAGTGTCAGTATTTATATAAGTTAAACTCCTTTGTTTGTGCTTTGACTTTGAGGTATTATTTATTTGTTAGCAAAAGAAACTCAATTGATGAGAATTGAGAATTAGTAATATTTTCTATGAGTAGAATTATTCAATTTCAAACTGTTGTAACTCGAGTTTAACGTGTGAGGTATGTCCTCTCTTGGTTATGGAGTAGTCAAGAAAAGACTAGATTGGAATTAGTTTTATAGGTGAAGAGTGTCTTTAGTTGGAAATAGCAGTTAGGAAGGATCTTTAAGCATTTAATACATCATATGATGGATCATAACCAAGTCATGCTTCCCATTGAGAAGCAATATTGTTTACTGGGAAAATGACACAGTTGAATTTGTAATGAGGTCAAGGACACGCATCTTGAATTAACTCGTTAAGTTTGGCTATTACCAGTTAAATATGTTTGCTAAGAATTAAGTGGAAGTTGTAAGGAAAGTAAATAGAGTTGTATGAAGCAATAGATCCCCGATGAGATGAGTTTGCACTGGATCCTGGTGAGGTTAGAGTGTTCCTGATATTGAATCCGGAGACGTTTATGTAGAGTAATGCTTGAGAACTTGGACTTAGGAGAATTAAAAAGCTTGGAGCATAAGAAAATCAATGTATTGCTTTTGTCCTGTTCAGTGTCCAACCCCTTACAATTATGTTTAAAACTACTATTTATAGGTAACAAAAGGTAATACATCAACCAATACAAAAGCTCCACTTGAGCCCTAAAGTACAATGCCCAATGGCTGTGGCATCTTCCCAGTACTACTTTTTTCACCTTTGTTCACTGAGTTCCTTGCACAAACAAACCATTCATCATTTCTAAGTGGAGCAGTTAGCAGAAATGTTCTTTCTACTTTTGTTTGTTGATGTAGAGGATACTTGGAAATGCTGCATATATGTCTTTTTTTTTTTGAGATAAACAAGGAAGACTATTCAATTGATAAATAAAGTATTCACATCAAGAAAATAAATTTAGAAAATGTATTTGCCGGTCTATGTTATGTGCAGGATCGATCAGCTTTTTGTTTTTGCTGCAGTTAGTAAGTCTGTGTTGCTAGACTACAATTGTCTCCTCGCTATATATACATCTGTTCTTTCCTATTGCAGTCTCCTTGAAGGTGCTATTTTACCTTTTTGTGGTTTGTCTTCTTTGGTATAGACAACTGAGAGCAATATATGATCAGCTTCTTTCCTAGGTGGCAAGAAAAAGTCGTCGCCGCAACTTCATATTGAATATAATTTGTAAAAGATTAATTTCCATCCATGTCATAACGATGGTTGTGCAGTTTTATCATGTATAGTTATTCCATTTGACAATGACTGGAGTAATATATACAAATGAAACAAAATATTTCTACTTCTATTCCCATAATTTCTCCTATTTCAGGTACATCTAGCTTTTAAATAAATACTTGATCTTCTGAAGTAATCAAACAAACGCTGACACTTGACTATTGATTCGACACCTAATGGGAGCTGGGGAAGAGAGCACCCCTGCAAAACCTTCGAAAGTTACTGCAACTCAGGTCATTTTCCATTTTTTTTTCCATACATCTGTACACAATAAATGCTAATATAAGTTTTAGTGTTACTCTGTTTTGTGGCTCGCTATTCACAAGTTCTCCATTTGTTTGATTTTCAGGAAACACAAGCTACACCTTCATATCCTGATTGGTCCTCTATGCAGGTTGGTAATGAATTTTATTGTGAATAATCATTGTCAGGTTCTACGTATCAATATTCTTCATAATATAAGATGATGAATGTTTTAATTCTTAAGCACTAACTTTCCTGTTTAGGCATATTATGGTGCTGGACCTACACCTCCCTTCTTTCCCTCAACTGTTGCTTCTCCCACTCCCCACCCATACATGTGGGGAGGCCAGGTGATTAGTTTTGCATTCACTAATTTACATAGTCCTTTTTTGCGGCACATTGCATCTTTTTTACTATATGAAGTATAAAGCTCAGAACATTTTAATGTACTTACTCTTTATTGCGTGATATTTCAGCATCCGCTTATGCCTCCTTATGGAGCCCCAGTCCCATATCCTGCTTTATATCCTCCTGCTGGAGTTTATGCTCATCCTAATATGCCTATGGTAATTAATCCTTTTGGTTACTATCAATTTGAAAGCTGATGAAAGAGAGTCACCCACTTATAGCTTTTTTGTAAATTTATTTCTTTAAAAGCCTCTATTTACTAATTTATTTATGCTCTTTTGGCAGACTCCAAACACACTGCAGGCAAATCCAGAATCAGCTAGTAAGGCACCAGATGGTAAGGACCAGAATACAAGCAAAAAATTGAAGGGATGTTCAGGTGGCAAGGCAGGAGAAATTGGGAAAGCGGCTTCAGGTTCTGGAAATGATGGTGGTGCCACAAGAAGGTATTTTGATGTGGATTTGGTGTTAAAATTTGTCTGCAGACTCTTATTTTAATCTCATTTTCAATCAAATTGATCTTTTTTGGATGTGGTCATTTATGCATCTGACTTACTATATTCTCTTGAATAGTGCTGAAAGCGGAAGTGAAGGTTCATCAGACGAAAATGATGAAAATGATAACCATGTATGCCTTCTGATTAACTCAAGAATGTCATAGCTTACTCAAATGCATTGCTGTTGTGTCGGTTCCGTATCATTTGGTAGCTAAGACTGACTTTTCTTGTTTTATTATTATAGGAATTTTCTGCAGACAAGAATAGAAGCTTTGATCTAATGCTTGCTAATGGTAACTTGTTTCACTTGTCTGCTTCTTGATTATGCCTTATTCGTTTTATTTAATTGGTCTGTAATTTTCAACTAGGAGCCAATGCTCAGACCAATCCTGCAACAGGGAATCCAGTCGCTATGCCCGCAACTAATCTGAATATTGGGATGGATTTGTGGAACGCACCGCCTGGTGGTCCCGGAATGATCAAAATGCGATCAAATCAATCTGGTGTCTCGCCAGCTCCTGGGATGGGACGTGAATGGATTCAGGTAGTTTTGTTTTCAGTCATTTATTCAATTTTATGAAACAAATGAATGCAGAGTTGATCATGCTACTTTCTGTGCTCTGGTGATACTGCCAATTTCTTATCAAAATTATTCCTCTAACCACCTGTGGAGTAAAAATCACAAAATGTACTTACTCTTCTTCGTGCCAGATGGTCATTAGGGATATTTGAAGATTGTGTTCAATAAGACTCGCTGTTTCTGGTGTATCTTGACATTCAGAATTCATTCTCAATGAACAAAATGTTAAATTGTGAGAAAATGTGACATGTGTTGATAATAAGGAAATACATGACAAACCTATTTATAGGCATCTTACATGTAACCACTGAGACTATTTAACAAAAATGATGGTTCAGGAAACTAAGATATCACAACTGAGATAGAGAAAGAACCAAACCGTGAACGAGATATGAAGAGGAGCTGAGGTCTGGGTTTTTATTCTTCTGGTGTTTTGGTTGGTCCTGAAATAGTTGATGGCATGGCTAGTTAACTGATCAAAAGTGCTTTCAGCAGTTATACTAGTGAAACATCCACTAGTATTCTTCCGGAGAACTTTCAATGAAACAATCAGTTCATTCTTTATGTGGAAAATTTCCTGTTTGTAGGACCAAATTTGCCCAAATATATGCTCTTAAATTAAAAAGGGCAGCCCGGTGCACTAAAGCTCATGCTATGCGCTGGTCCAGAAAAGGGCCAAACCACAAGGGTTTATTGTACGCTGCCTTACCCCACATTTCAACAAGAGGTTGTTTCCACGGCTTAAACCCGTAACATCCTGGTCGACAACAACTTTACCATTTACTCCAAGGCTCCCCTTCATGCTCTTAAGTTAAATTTAAAAAAATTAAAACCTGAATAAGGCTTGAAATTTGGTCGCAAGAAACTGAACTTGGTTTCAAATTCCTTACATCAATATTCTTTAGTATGGTTCCATATTTTGGAAGCTATAAATCTTCATGTCTTTACCCTTCGATGTGACTAGTGGCGGAGCCAGGATTTTCAATAAGGGGTTTCAAAATCTGTAGAAATAGACACACAAAGTAGCTGAAGGGGGCTCGACATCTACTATATATACATAAAAATATATTTTAACCTTATATAATTAATATAATTTTCCGCCAAAGGGGGTTAGTACAAGGTGGCTCCGCCCCTGGATGTGACCCAGTGGTTTGGACTTGGGACCCCCATGTTGGAGGTCTCAAGTTGGAAATCCCTTGCCAGCGAAAGCAAGGGGTTTGCCTTTTGGGTTGAGCTCGTCGCACCGGGCTTGCTTAGTGCGAATTACTTCTCCTGTGTGGTTTGTGAGCTATTGCATAGGAGTGGAGGTTTTACCCTATGCGCATCTAAATGATAGTGGCTGCGGATTTCCCAATAAAAATATCTTCGTGTCTTTACGTTATGCTAGATTGAGATTCAAAGCTATTTGATGTATGTAAAGTAAACTTTTTGGGAATCTAAAGGCATTTCTACACATTTTCAAAAAGTGATCATTATTGTTGTTCTTATTGTTCTTTGTTTCTCAATATGTATATTGTATAAAGTCAATAATGAGATAGTACCCTTACAAAAATCATCACTGTGTTTCTTTTTGTCGATAAGTACTTTACAACCCTTCTTAATAGGATGAACGTGAACTTAAAAGGCAAAAGAGAAAGCAGTCTAATAGAGAATCAGCTAGGAGGTCAAGATTGCGCAAGCAGGTATGAGTTACTTCTTACAGATACTGTTTCACTTTCATCTCTTCAACAGTCAGAGTACATTATAGAAACTGATGGGTCTAACTTACAGAGAAAATAATTGATGGTTGTGCATCTAAGTTAAACCTTAGAAGATCACCCTGTTATACACAATCATAGAGCACTACATCGTGCTCTATAAAATTGTAGCATCGTTGTGTTTTTTACTTACCATAACCTCGCGCATGAAGATCTCCCCGGCTAATGCCAATGTAGCTGGAGGGAGTTGATGTATTACATATATATGTAGCCTTCTCTTTGCATGTCTGCAATTTCTTCTTTGAACTCGGGACTTACGGCTCACCAAAGGAGCAACTGTACAACTTCTGAAAGATTATCCAAAATAATGTTACCAATGAAATTACACATATAGAATAATTTTCAACTAATTTGATAATTACATTAAGAGTCTTTGTAATACCAAAAGTTTGAAATTACAAAGCCAAATTGGTGATGACTACCTATTTTCAGAAAATAAAAACAGACAGTGTCATGGCTTTATAACTAGCCAAGAGACTGTTTACACTTTCTATAGCAGCTATCAGAACTTAATCAATACACAAAAAACCCAGTAATGGAAACTGTCTAAAGTGTAACTTCAGGTGGTTGACAAAATCTAGCCATAATTCCAGCAGTTTTGCATAAACTGGCCCCTCAAGGCATGGCATTAAGTGTGAACAATGGAATGTGCCACCGCTTGAACTCTCCTCTCTCCCTGAATATGAATGTGGACTGCAATTTCTCTGAATACCCTCTCTGATTGGAACATGCTCTTCTGGAATTGAATGCCATTTCAGCCGCGGGCTTCCTTTTTTTTTTTATTAATATTTAATTCATATCATTGTGCTCATCATCCTTGTTAGAGCAAGAAACTCTCTTTATGGGAGGGGAAGGTCATATTTAGTTAAACTTAACCAGAATTCCTCCACCACGGATGGACTGATCTAAAGAGTCGAGACTTGATTCAATATTTATAGGTGCTTTGAATCATCATGTCATATCATGTATCATATTCATATTCATATATATATATATATATATATGGGAAGCTCTCAATTGAAAGTTGGATTACGAAAATAACCTTATAAAGCTGAGTTACTATAATATCCTTCAACTTGATATTACTTCAAATATATTTTGTACAAAAATGTAAATGCACATTCTAATTAAAAAAAGGCAAACGTAACAGTACCCTTTCATTCACCATTAAAAATTGGCATCCTAATAAATGTAAATAATAACTCCCATGAATGTGATTAATTGTAAAGATTTTTTTATAACAAGTTCAATGTACACCTTTTCTTCTATTATCTCTAACTTTTGCTCATTTATCTTCTACCCCTCTAGCCTTTTGATATTCTTTCTATCACTTTATAACCTGCACAAATTTAGATCATTTCATTATCCCTTACCTATATTATTTTTTCTCTTGAAAAAACAACGACTTGATATAGCTGCTTATCAACATCTGATTCTGCTAAAATATGTATTATTCTGTGTGAGGAAGAAGTTCAGTGGTTATCAAGATTTTACTCAGTTTGGCATTAGAAACAGCATTAGATATTGGTCAGATCAAATATTTTAAATGGTAGCATTACTATTGCAAGTTTCCATCAGATTTTTCCTTGATATATGAATCGAAATACCTGCATATGAGAAAGCCTTTGATCATGTGATGTTGCATTTTCCTTTTTATGCTCTGCAATAATTACTATACAATCATCGCCCTTTTTTATTTTTACTTTTTTAATGTTCATGTATTTGAGTTGAAACAAGTTTCATATGATTGTTGTGCATTTGGGTTGGTCATGCTGTTATTCATTATATGCATCAAAATTAGTTTTTATTTTTTTCCATATAGTTAATTTTCCGGAGTTAATATTTTATTGTATGCATGTATTTATATATGTTCGAATATGTATTTATCTTTAAATTAAAGTATTGTATATGTCTCTACAATATCATCAAGTTTGCATGATTTATTTGCCTCAACTTACGAGTTGTTACTTCTTTGTATGTTTTGATTTTTTACTTTATAGTGCAGAGGAAGTCAAATAATATATGTATATATATACCATTTAAAATTTATCATTTACAATACAAAATTTATATTAAATATTTTGGATAAACATGCGTTCCCAAAAACTAGTAGCAAATACACAGTTAATAATTGATCCTCTCCCAGACTCTTTACTTGCCCATCCAGTAGTCCATAGAAACTCATCTTGCCACTCCCCAATATCCGTTTGTATACCAAACCAAGGCAGTAACCTTTGCCATAAGTTCTTAGTTATAGAGCATCTAAAGTACTATGATAAAGGTTTCCATGGGTGATTTAAGTAGCAGAACTTGGGATGCTACATGTAGCAACTGGATCATGTTTTAAGTAGTAAGTGTGGACTCACTTAATCCAGAGACTATCTTTCTTTTCAGATGTAGCCCAGAGTTCCTTTTGTTACTTCTAGTACTCCCTCAAAAAAAAAAAAGGTGGTGGGTCGGAAAGCGACGTTCAATTCATTTAATTTTCGGTGTGAAATTTAGTGTTGATGTTTTAATTATTTAAACTAAAGTTTGTTATTTGGAAACAGAATTCAATTTTGGGTGTTCAAAATATTTAGAGATTTAACTTATACATACCCACACTGTAGTGCCTCTGGAGTCTTGTGTGATAAGAAAATTCCACCTAGACTTAAAGGTAAGTTTTACAGAGTGGTAGTTAGACCGGCCTTGTTGTATGGAGCGGAGTGTTGGCCAGTCAAGAACTCACATGTCCAGAAAATGCATGTTGCGGAGATGAGGATGTTGAGATGGATGTGTGGGCACACTAGGAGTGATAAGATTAGGAATGAAGTTATCCGGGAGAAGGTGGGAGTGGCCTCTGTGGTGGACAAGCTGAGAGAAGCGAGACTGAGATGGTTTGGGCATGTGAGGAGACGGTGCGCAGAAGCACCAGTGAGGAGGTGTGAGGGGCTGGTTGTAGAGGGTACGCAGAGGGGTAGAGGTAGGCCTAAGAAGTATTGGGGAGAGGTGATTAGACAGGACTTGGCTCAGCTTCGCATTACCGAAGACATGACTCTAGATAGGAAAGCGTGGAGGTCACGTATTAAGGTTGTAGGTTAGTAGGGCTAGAGTGTTGTCCTCCCTTGCGAGAGTATGGGTTGTTAGCGTTGGTAGTAGTCCTTGCCTTACACTTGCAGTTCTTGTTTGTGTTACATATAGCCTTCTGGTTTTTATTGCGTTTCACTTCTCTCATTGTTTTATTGATGTTGCTGTCCCCTTGTTGATTATAACTATCTTTCTTATTGGATGTGATGTTTTACACAATGTTTTCCTCGCGTTTTACTTGGTTTTGATGTACTTGAGCTGAGGGTCTCTCGAAAACAGCCTCTCTACCTCTACGAGGTAGTGGCAGGGTCTGCGTACACTCCACCCTCCCCAGACCCCACCTAGTGGGATTTCACTGGGTATGTTGTTGTTGTTGTTATACCTACACTGTAGATAACTTTTTACATTGTTGGGTGACTTGAAAGATATTTACAGGTCTTCATACAAAGTGAGATTTGTAATTTTGAAAATAAGGCAGTTTTTAACAAGTAAAAGTGGCTTGATAATGTAAAATGATTTTGCACCATGTGTTAAACTCATTTGTACTTATCAAGCGCACATACACACATAGGTTGAGTACATAGACAACCCCTTAAACTCGCCAAACTTAGTTCTGAATTGAAGAAAAGATAACACAAATGCATATAACTAAACGTAGCAATTTGAGGGAGAAACTCACCTATTGCTGCTGACCTTTACACTGTGGTTGAGCATGACCATCATGGAGTGTGTGAGTGACTCGTGAGAAAAACCAGCAGTAGTTCCAATATTAGTGGCATCAGAAATCCATTACTTGAATGTTGAACAATGATGGGATAAGACGCCAAATGCCATGGATAACGTGAAATTCCCAAACCTTGCAGTAGTCATGGGTGAAAACACCTGAAACCCACCCGTAAATGCAAAACCATTATGTGGGAAAGCATTTCTATTTGGAGTAGAGCTGCTTTGGGTCTCTATACCATTTAACAAGACGAATCTCTATTCTAGGAATATACTTAGACCTTAGGATCAGTAAATTTCTTCCCCCTTCCATATGAAGGAACCATCTTGTCCTCCACGATGAAGGCTTTAACTGGAATGGAAAGATGGACATTGAGTGGTGCAGGCCAGTGAAGTTTTCTGGTGATGTAAATGAAGAGGAAGTGGGGAAGGAAAGTGCTTTGGTGAGTGTAGATTTAGGTTTGAATCTAGTATAGGTTTGCGAGGAGAAGCAAAAGAAAACACATGGAATTGAGTTTGATATGGGGTAAAAGATGAAAACTTGAAGGAATGGCTGGAAAAAAAAGTAGTTATCAAAAGTGTCTGGAAGTAAACTCCATATTTTCTGGAAAAACATGCTCAAATTCGGGTGGGAGAAACGCAACCTACCATCTCAGCTAGTCGTGTCTGATAGACCCATTTTACATAGACTTCCGGTGGTCAATAGGTCAATTCATTGTCTCAGTTAAGACTTCTTAACTGAAAACATTTTTTACAAATTAAAGGGGTCATTTATGTATGTATATGTGTCTCTTTCTATTGTTTTCCAAATTATCGACCTTGAGAAAAATAGCATATTTTGTTTCTCTTATGATAATTGAGTTCAAGTACAAGAGTACAGAAATTAGAAGTTCCCAAAAGGAAAACGAAACAAAGGAGACGAAGTTGGTAACACCAATGAATGATAGTAATAGCATATATATATAATATATATGAGTTTCACTGTGCTGCATCGATTTTTGGTATCAGATCTCGAGTTTCTGCTTCATAGCTCTTGTAAGTGCTCTTGGCCTCAAGTTCCATATAAATCACCCAGCCTAACTAAGTAGGAATTTGGACAAATATTTGGTGGTTGCTGAAGCTGAAGTTGAAAAAGAGAATTTAGAAGTAGAATTTTAAGTATTCTTACCCAACTTCCGAATAAAAAATAAATAAATATTGTGTCAAATACCATTAACACCCCGAATCATTAGTTTTGGTGGGCTTAATTGCAGCAAATATGTGATTGGTATTGAAACACTGGGAGTAACTAGCCTTCCAGCTAAAAGGAGAAAAACGGTTCTCCCAAGTGTGATAGTTTTATACTATTTTCTTCATGCCAATCTCATCCGGATTCAATCATATAGGGATGGAAGGTGTACTCAAAATAAAGGACTTGTTTTGTTTTTGTGAACATTTTTTGGAAAGAATAGCCGATCATTGTCATTGTGGACTGTAGTTTGTCCAGCAGATTGTGTACTAAACTGAGAAGCAAGGTTTTTCATAGAATCAACCGATGGGGGATGACTCGCCTTATTGGTTGACTATATTTTAAGCCATTGGAAGTCTGTTCTTTCTCTCTGATGCGCAATCGAATGCCTTACCCGGAGAGAGAGAGAGAGTGGGATCTGAACTGTAAATCTGATTAAAAATTGGTCTGATAAAATACTGTGAACAGACAATATTGATAGGTCCATCTCGAGATTACCTGGAATTTGAAGTTTTTTGATAGTCGTGTTGTTTTATGATTATCTTCTGCAGGCTGAGTGTGAAGAGCTACAACTTAAGGTAGAGACATTGAGCAATGAGAATCATGGACTCAAAGAGGAGTTGCGAAAGGTCTCTGAGGAATGTGAGAAGCTTACCTCGGAGAATAATTCAATAAAGGTAAAAACTACTTGAGCATCTTTTCCCTTCTCCCGTCTGTATTCGTGTATGCTTATCTCATTTGCCCTCACTTCTAAGTAAATTCTAAAGTTTCCATCCTTTCCCCTTTTTTATCTTGTGTTCGCACGGAATTGTTGATCAATATTAAAAAAATTGGTACTCGCAGTTCTGAGAAAATTTGCTGTTGTTTCTTTTTCTCTTTATGTTTGTCCTTTTAATCCATCTAAGCAATAGGACCTGATTCTGAAACAGGATGAGTTGACGAGGTTGTATGGGCCAGAGGATGTGTCCAAGCTAGAGAGTAATGCCAACGCCATGCGTCTTCAGTCCAATGTTGAGGAAGCTAAGAGTTGAGGACAAGCCATGACAGAGTAGCTTATTTTGGTTTAAATGCTCACAAATCTCTTACTGCCCGTGAGAAATCTATAGCTTTTACCGTGCGTTAGAAGTAGAAATCTCTGTTTTTCTACTAATTTATGCCCTTTTTAACCCTTTTGAGTGAAATTTATAACATTAATTCTTGGATTTTTAACCCAGGGTTGAATCTGAATCTATGACAACATTGTAAAAGTAACTGAATAACTTGATCTTTAGACCATTAAGTATTCTGGTGACTTGGATTGTATTCTATCTTGCTTTGTTTGTTTGTTATGTTTTCAAAAGTTGGGAAATTTTTTGCTTCCGATAAGTCCAAAATATCTCCTTATTAGCCAGTGCTGCCAATCCTACTGAGGACTTTATGGATTTCTTTTTTGGGAAGACAAGGAATAAGTGGAAACTATGTTGATATTGTCGTCATAGTCTAAGTTCCTACTTTCAACAAGACATTCTTAGCTTATTAAATTCTCTCTCCTTCACCAGGAAAGTATCTTATAGGCAAGATCTTTGAGTATGTTCTATTTTTCCGAACCCTTCAAGATGAAGATTGACTATCATCCCTTACAGCACCACCATTGAAGCTCCCTCGGAGTGAGTCTTTTTTTTTTGCAGGATTTAGAGATTCCTGTCTTTTACTTTTCTCAATTAAACACCATTGTGGTGGAGTTTGATAGAAATATGTACCACATTTTGAGGAGAAGATCACCTCTTTTTAAAAAAATTAAGTAGCCAATTTTGAATCACCAATCCTTGCAACACTCTCCAACATAGCTTGGTTGACTGTGGATGTTATATATCATTAAAGAATGAAAAAGAAGCAAGTCGGCTCACACGTGATGAACGTGTTAAAGACATAATTAAGTAATTAAAAGTGTGTTATGTCTCTAACAACTTGAAGTTTTTCGATGAAATAATCATACACTCCATCGTAAAATACAATTTAAATCTCATTACAATACAATTATTTATTTGTGAACCCAACTAACTGAAGTTAATGTTGGGAATTTTTCTCCTAAAATGTAACGTATATTGACGAAGGATAAGCTTGATCCTCATCAAAATATTGAATTCTGTTTTTTTGGTCTTAGTCAGCCAGTAAGCAAATATAAATAAAATGGGACATGGAATGGACCACATCCCAAGAAATGTATACGACTTGTAGATCAAACGAGAAGACAACTTTACTGTTGCTTCAAGACTCCACACAAAAGCGAATAAATAGTTCTAACAAAAATGTCCAATGGAAAAGAACATGAGGTGAAGGGGGATGATTTTAACACTTGTGCAAAAAAGAATCCCAACTTTATTAAGCCATGTGATTGCTACCAAAACAAGAATATAAACGACAAGAATACAGCATAAACTTAGAAGAAAATTAGAATATTAATTCAAATGAAATTTGAGAAAATAGTATAGAAACATTGCATCAGTTCCTTTCCTTTTTAATGTCAAAGCTAAAAATTGGCCCAGGAAACCACTTTCTCTTCATCCTTTCTATCTTATGTCCTATAATTAATAAACGCCTCGGTCCAGCTACTTTCTTTAGTCATTCATATTCGAAATTCACCCAACCGACTATTAGATTCTTTTAACATTTTTAGTCTCGTGTTAAATAGGTCCACTAAAAAAAAGAATAACTCGCATCCTATCAAGAAGTTCTCAATTCCTTGCATTTTCACCTCCAAGTCATGTAGGTTCACTAAAAAAATAAAGCACTTCCTACCAAAAGGTTCTCAAGGCATTTTCAGGTCCGGATTTAAATCATTGTCACTTTTACCAATTGTGAAAGATTTTTTCCCTACCCCACACCCAAATACCCTTCTTTTATCTATAATTGCCCTCAACTTCTCAACAAAAAAAAATAAACACTTATGTCACTTCAAGGCTCAAGCCTGTTGGCTAAATTTATTGGTGTTAATGATCCAGCACACCAACAATAACTTTATAGAGTATTTTTAACCTAGGGCTAGATAGGTGGCATTCACTCTCTCTATTCCTACCTTGCATTCTTAATGCCATGAAGCACTCTTCTAGTTCTAGGTACCTAATTTAATATTCCTTCTGTTTCAATTCATGAAATTCAAGAAAGTAGTGAAGATTTAATCTTCTGATTTTAAATTAAAGATGTATAGAATGTATCAAAGATATATTTTAATTTTTTGATTTTAAACATGCTACGTAAAAAATTATTAAGCATAAACACATCTTTTAACTTGACCTCATATGACATCTATATCCTCCAACTGTGGGCGTACATAATAGGCACTTAAACTTAAACTTGTATAGAGTTCAACAATTTGACACACACGTCCTACTCAGTATCGATTCACATTCTAGTAACGTTCTACATGTCTATTTTTATTTAACTTTATACAAATTTAAACGTCTACTTGTGCACATCCAAAGTTGAAAAACATAGATGTCAACTAAGACAAAGTTAAAAGACATGTATGTGTTATATCAAGTTAGAACTTAAAAAAATACTATTAAAAAAAGGTAAAAGACATTTTTAAACAACGAATTTAAAAAATAAACAAATATTTCAGATAGAGGGAGTAAAATATATTTTAACCGTGCGCAAACTATCAGTTTTTACACTTCAATTAAATAAATATAATTGCTTCCTTTAGAATAAATTAAAGAGTAGAAAAGTTTATACAGAGTAGGAGTTTCTTCTATATTACAACAACAAAGACGTTTTCTCCCTACACTAATGGGCTTTGCCAAATTGTCAACTAAAGCTTCATGGTCCTTCACATTTGGTATCATGAACTTCTTCCAAACTCCTTCCCACAAAATTCTCCACTGTCAAACGGTCCTGCTGCCGCAGCCACATCTAGATTACCGCCCATTGATGTTATTAGAGCGGATAATCCAGGTGTTGAGCCTCCACCAGCTGCCATCCCCAATCCAAGAAGGTCAAGAGTAGGATGTTTGGGACCGAAAACAGAGGGAGTTCCCAACATCAGTTCCTTTAGACCAGAGCCATCGTCACATGGCAATCCAAGGCCAAGGCCTGCAGCCAACGTTGCACCATCAGTGTCAATTTGTCTCCCATTCCATTCGTGTTGCCCACTAGACGATGAAGAAGAAGATAATATCCCAAGACCCCTCAACAATGATGAGTTTGTCGCTGTTGCACCCATCTGAGCAGCCTTCTGCAGTAATGCTGTTGCAGACATGGATGGTTGTGGTGCTGCAGCATACTGAATTCTCTCTTGCCCAGCTGGTCCAAAGACTGATGAACCATGATTCATTGCAAGGCAGAGAGATATTGGTTCCATAGATGATGGTGGTTCTATATCAGGTGGTGGTGCAGGAGCCACGGACTGAAACCAATCCGTAAATTGAGGTGCTTGAGACGGCAAACTTCCTGAAGCTGTTGATGAAGCAAATAAGCTTGCAAAAGTGCTGTTGCTGGCACTTCTGTTGCTGCTCGAGTTACTACTGCTGCTACAGATTCCAGTCAAGCTTGTAAAAATGCTGCTGCCGCTGGTACTTCTGTTACAGCTCGAGCTACTGCTGTTGCTATAGATTCCAGTTGAACTTGCAAAAATGCTGCTGCCGCTACAGATTCCAGTTGAACTTGTAAATATGCTGCTGCTACAGATTCCAGTTGAACTTGAAACTATGCAGCTGCCGCTACAGATTCCAGTTGAACTTGGAAATATGCTGCTGCTACAGATTCCAGTTGAACTTGGAAATATGCTGCTGCTACAGATTCCAGTTGAACTTGAAAATATGCTGCTGCTGTGGGTACTTCCATTACTGCTTGAGCTCCTACTATTGCTACATATTCCAGACAAGCTTGGGAAAACGCTGATGATGCCAGTACTTCCATTACTGCTCGAGCTCCTAGTGCTGCTACAGATTCCAGTCAAGCTTGGAAAAATGCTGCTGCTGCTGGTACTTCCATTACTGCTTGAACTCCAACTGCTGCTGCAGATTCCAGTCAAGCTTGTAAAACAGTTGCTGTTGGTACATCCGGTGCATGAGCTACTACTGCAGATTCCAGACAAGCTTGATTTTGCTGTTGTTTCTTCTATATCCTGTTTAGTAATAGTTCCATTGGAATTTGTGTGTGGACTCTCTGCCAAATTGTAACAATTATAGTAAGACAGAAAGAAACAACTCATATAAACAAGCAGTGAAAGTTAAGCTTTTGATATAAAAGGTTAGTAGAAGTGATGACACATGTTAGAATTCTTTAAGTTGTGCTATGTTTCCTTTACCTTACCCAAAGTTTTTTCAGATTGGAAATGTTACTTTTCTATTTTTTTGTTTAATCTCTTTATGCCTATATTTACATACTTCTGTTTCTACAATTTGAACTTTGTTCAGATAAAGGATCACTTGGGCGTTTGGACATGAGTAGGTCGAGATATGAAAAAAAGTAGTATTTGAAGTTGAAGTTGAAAAGAGTATTTGGAAATTGAATCAAGTGTTTGGACAAGAAAACAAGTTGAATTTTAGTGAGTGAAAACTTGAAAAAGACTCCAAAAACTGTTTTTCAAGTTAGAAGTTGAAATAATGGCCCAGATTGATAAGCAAACACTTATTTAACATAGTCTAATGAGGAATACAGATAACAACAAGAATCAATAGATGACAAAAGTTCTTGATAAAATATCATTAACTGACAAAATAAGCAAGACTCCAAAACAAAGAAAGAACAAAGTCTCCTGTCTGTTCTCAACAAACACACATATCAGATACACTACAAATCCAGATTTTCAAACTAGTTAAAAATTGAACTTCAAAATGTACCTGGATTCTGGATGGGAGAATCAGAAGACACTACAGCAGTTGACGGAGAAACAGGAGGTGGTAGAGGCTCCGGGGCAGCTGGTGAAGGAATGGCTGGCGGCTCCGAGGATGGTGGGGGCGTAGGAGGTGTTTGTGGTGTTGATGAAACAACAACTTGAACTTTATGGTCCTCATCAGCAATAGGAGTTGTAACTGCATTCTGTGCTTTCTCAGTATCTTTTGCTAAAACATCACAAAATGCCCTGTGTGTGATAAAGCTATCCCTCCTATATATTATTAACAAAGATATCAGCTTTACAATAAAGAGAGATTAGCAATCAAAAGGGCATCAAGAATGGACCTTGAAAACATAGTCCCACAATCACATTTATACTCTTTAGTTCCACAAATCTTCAAATGAGCCTTCAAATCAGACTGAACTGCATACTTTTTTGAGCACTTATCACATTTCCACTTCTTCTCACCGTGTTTCCTACAAAAATGCTTCTTGATCCCAGTCAAATCCCCTAATGCCCGTGAAGGATCATGGTGAACACACGTAGGTTCGGGGCAAACATACACTCTCTTCCTCACCTCATTGCTTGCTCTCTGCCTTAGCTTCCAAGGCAGATTGTGACCTCTTCTATGAAGCTGCAAATTCTGGTCTCTCTGAAACCCTTTGTTGCAAATTTCACACACAAATCGGTTCGTTGCCAATAGAGTTTTCGGTGACAAAGCTACCACTTCCGCATTAGGATCTAATCAAAGGATAATAGAAAAGCCCCAAAAATCAATTTTCTGCTGAAATAGAAATCTGGGTTCTTAAACAAAATGGGTTTAAATAACTAAACCCTAACTAATTTGAAAGCTAACCATAGTAGTCGTATTAATTAGAAATTGCAAATTTAAATTAATTTACCTGGCATTCCAGGGAGATTCCGTTTTTTCTTTGCTGCTTCTTTACAAGGAGCTGTCTGATCACCAGAAGACAATACACTCACTTCACCAGAGCCCGCGCAATCATTCATGGCGGATGAAATAGAATTCTTCTAGGGTTTATCTAGTGCCTAAAATGTAAAAATCTAGAGCATTTCTACTTAAGAAACTTTCTACTCGCTTCTTTTTGCGAATCTACCATTCAATATTGCTTTCTGTACCCAACTAGTATCTCTGAACAAAGTTCTGATTCTTCTGAACACAAGCTCAGACTAGCTAATTAGCAAAACCCACATCACAAAACCAGCTCAAAGCAAAGTAGATAAGCAAAACCCAGATACCAAAATTGGCAAGAAATCACTCACTGGCGAGAAAATGAAAAAAATAAATTCAAATTAATGCAAATGGGATTTGCTAAAATGGAAGGACTCCACTCAAATTAGTGAGTTCCCGAGTAAGATTCACCTACAATACTCAAATCTTCACTTGTATTACAACAATAAGAGAAGTAAGTCGAAACTCCGGATCGGAAAAGGGTGAAAATGGGGGATTTTGGGTGGTCGGCGGCAGGGAAACTAGAGAGAGAAAGGGGAAATTTGAGTATGCAAAGTCTTGTATGTTACTAGTGTTTTCACTCTTTTAACTTTTCAGAACATGTGGACATTTTAAGAAATAATAATATTTTTTTGCAAAGTGTTTTCGTGTCCTATTTCATGCCATGATATTTGGCACTTTAGTATTATCTTATTCATAAAATTCTATATATATATATGTAAGTTTAATAAATAATTATTTATTAAATTGTGTTAATTATTTATTTTGAAACGTTATAGAAATAATGAAAGCGTTATATATAGATTGTGGTTTACTTTACAATATCAATCATATCTTATACTTTATTAGTTAAGATAATAAGATGATTTACCCCTTATAAAAGGGTAGAATATGTTGAAAAATTTATGAAAAGTACTTTATTGCAAACATTTTTAGAAAATAGAAAATTTTCATAATTTTAGGTGTGTTAGTGACATTATCGAATTCTCATGATTCAATTAGTTTTTCTAGTAAACTTGAAGAATAAAAACTAACAAAGACTAAACTAATAAGAAAATCTAATACAATATATGTGTATATGAAAGGAAAGTTATCTTTGATACACGCATTAAGAAAATAATAATTGATATAATTATTTAATAATAATATATTTATTAATTGATGTCTAAAACAATAGAAAATTAAAATGAACAGAGTATTACTTCCTCTGTACCAGTTTATATGACTTACTTTTTTTTCTAATCAATCCAAAAAAGAATGACACATTTGTTAAGTAACAATTTAACTTTAAAATATTTATTTTACCTTAGTTAAATTATTTACCGCTACACAAATATTTATCATTTATTTTTCACCACAAATTTTAAAGTCTTTATTTCTTTCTTAAATTTCATGTTAAATCAAACTAACTTATGGAACGGAGGGAGTATTAAAAATTAGAAACACTTTTAACTTAAGATTAGCTACTTAACCACTTTCAGTAAAGTGATGAAAGTGGGGCTAGAAATAGGAGTGGTCAATTTGCTAAATTAAGAGAAAGTCACTGAGAGTGAAAAATACAATAAAGGGTGGAGGGTAATTAATAAAAGTGAAAAGTATGCTAAAGAAAAGTCAAGTTACTTTTGACTATTTATAAGGCTTTTGGGGTAGTTGTATAATTGCCACGTGTTGTGCATTATTTGAATTTTCTTATACTAAACTTATATTAATGATACTAACATCTTTAGACCACTATTAGCTAACTATGGTGTAAGCAAGTTGGAATTTGAGGATAAATTTGTATTGTTAATGATTAAATGTAATATTAAATTTTAAAATAAATTTATATTATTAATTAAATGTAATATGAATATTTCAGACTTAATCGTGAGATATTCATTTGATTAGAGAGTATAATATATGAATGCCAATTTATTAATTTGTGAGAAAACTTCGGTTCTTCTATAAAATAGGACGGCAAATTAATTTATTTTGACATCAATTTTAAGTGGAATAATATATTGATCACTCTATATTTTTTCTATACTTTACTTAGTTTGTAATATTTTTTTATGACACATTATTGACATGAGATGATGTCATTCTCGAGCAAATATTTTAAAAGAATAGAAGGTAAGAATTTTCTTTTCCTCAAATAATAACAAATATTTTTAAATATAAATTTATCAGGCAAAAGCTATATGTGTCGAATACTTGAGGTGGAAATTCATCTTAATGTAATGGATCTGATAGGTACTATGAAAAATAAAAATCAGACATTAAATTAAGATTATGTCAAAATAATGCTATTTCTGCACATCATTTTATCCCTAATATTATAAAAGTGATTCAAATTTTATTCTTTCTTTATTAACTTCATCCATTTATTTTTTAATAAAATTAAACTCATCATATTAAAAGTGGACAGAGAAAGTAATGCTTATTATTGAAATGGAAAGAACTCTATTGCTAAAAGAAAAGAAAAAAAGGAGAAAAAGGATTAAACAAGCAAAGAGTATTTTAGAGATAATAATTTCTATTTTTAATAAAATGGAAGATGGTAGATGATTTATATTAGGTAGTTCAAGAAGATTATAAAACAATATTGAGCTACATGGGTTGCAACTTGCATGGCCTCTTCCTTTGAAAGAGTAATTGTTTCTATTCCTATCAATCGAACTTTGTATTTTATAGACTTGAAAAATCATGACTTGATCGACATGATCTTTCTCACTATTTTCTTTTCTCATATCATACTCTCTTTGTGCGTTAACAAACTGAAGTGAAGGATGGATGTGAAAAGCATTGGCCAACATAACAAACCTTAAGATCTTGTATTTGTTTTAAAAAATCTTTGACAAACTGTATAACATTGTTATCTTCGTCTAACGATTTGTGTATAGCAATGAGACTGTCACAAATTTTCTTAAATTCTTTTATATATTCATCTATAGATTTTAATCCCAACTTAATACTCTAAATTTATTGCTTCAATTCATGAAATAATTTCTTATGCTCGCTAACTTTTCAGGACATTTTAAGAAATAGTAATAATTTTTGCAAAGTGTTTTCGTGTCCCATTTCATACCAAGATCTTTGGCTAAGGACCAAGTGCATGTTGATTTTATAACTATTATGTGACTGATAATTTAATGGGAAAATTATGCGGTTAAGCAAACTTATACTACTTAATTACTCATCATAGCTATAGTTTGCTATAATTACCACTCATGACTAACATTATACATTAATTACGCGGGCTGACTTCGAGTTTGTATAATTAGTTATGTTTGTATATGTATAATTCGTCAGAATATACAAATACATATGTATAATATACAATTATCTAACCTATATGCATTTACAATTCACCTTTCTCCCACTCTCTGCCCTCTCTCGCTTGCCTCTCCCCTCTCTCTCCCAATCTCGCTCGCCTCTTCCTCCCTCTCCCAATCTCGCTTGCTATATATACAATTGCATATGTATAATATACAATTATCTAACATATATACATATACAATTCACCTCTCTCCCCCTCTCTGCCCTCTCTCTCTCGCCTCTCTCCTCCCTCTCCCAATCTCGCTCGCCTCTCTCCTCCCTCTCCCAATCTCTCTTGCCATATATACAAATATATATGTATAATATACAATTATCTAACATATATACATATACAATTCACATTTCTCCACTCTTTGCCCCCTCTCTCTCGCCTCTCTCCTCTCTCTCCCAGTCTCGCTCGCCTCTCTCCTCCATATAACATGTAGCTACGAATTGTAATTATCAAACTATAGCTATGGAGAGTAATTAGACTATTTTTGAGTGGCTATATGTGAAAGTTCCCCTAATTTAATTATATTAAATCAACTTTTAGAAGATGATTTCATTAATTAATAAAATTGTGTTTAATGTTTTGAAACGTTATAGTACAAGTAATAAAAGCGCAACATCTAAATTGTGATTTATCTTAACTTATATTTGGACATGCGATATAAAGTATGATTTTAAATTAGCGGTCTTAATTTTTCAAAAAAGCCTGATTTCGAATTTCAAATCACAATTTATTTTTAAAAAAAAAATTTGACCCTTGCGTTTATATTTTGTAAAGAAAAAACTCATCATCTTAAATAGGGTTGTTCATGGTTATGGTTAAAAAATCAAACTGAACCGCAATTCAAACCAAACCGATTTAAAAAAATTGGTATCTGGTTTGGTTTAGTTACCTTTGGTTTTAAATTTTGAAAATCGATACTATTCGGTTTGGTTTTGATTTTACTAAAAAACAACCGCAAAAATAATCAAACCGAACCGATAAATTAGATATATAAATTTTATAATTATTTATATATTATTCATAAATAAAATAAATTTTAATGAGAAAATTGTGTGAAATAGTAAACTATTAATTCAAATTAAATGTTATAGCTATAATTTATTTTATTTGTAATTCGCAGCAAACATCCTATTTTTTTGCCATTTAGTTTGGTATACAATTACCCATTCGGTATACAAATGTATAAAATGCGTCTGTGTTTGTATAAAGCGAGAGAAAAGTTTATATACAAATACAAACACAGATATTTTCGTCCAATACACTTATAACTATACAAATACAGATATTCCCCTGCCCAGTTCTCTTTTGTCTTTCTCTCTTTCTCATTTTATACAAACACAAATTATACAAATTACAATGTATAATTTGTGTTGTATAAAGCGAGAGAGAGATTTGCACATAGATTTCACATATACACTTATACAAAGAACACATACATATACAAATTACAACTATATGTACATATACAATGGACAAGCCTAACTGAAACGTTTTATATACAAATTATCCAATTGTATAAATGAATTTATACAAAACTGAACAATTTGTATATAAATTGGATGTATCTAGCGAAATATACAAATCAAAAGCTCCATAGCAAACATAAAATTTGTTATGGAACGCAATTATGCAAATTATAGCTATAACATACAAATATGATTTTTATGTTTGTTATATGTGAAAATTGCTCAATTTTAATTAACTTAAGTCTTTAACTTTACCATTTTCTCAAGCCCAATACTTAAGTCCAACTATAACAATCCTAAGTCCAAGTCCATCAAAATCAATTTTAGTCTTTACCTACCCTACTTCACATAAAATAGTCACACTTTCTCTTAATTGAATCACGTTCGTGTAATGATAACTCTAGTATTGCTTAATTGAACAGACAATAGCTTTTCTGTGGATTATTCATGTACTAGGTGTTTGTATCTATCGAGATGCGTACGTCCTCAAAAAAAGTCTTACTTTCAAACCGAATAAACCAGAAAAACTTAACCAAACCGACAATAACCAAATCGACGGTAATTTTTTTTCGTTTCATTTGGTTGGATTTTAGAAATTTAAAAAAACTGACCGGATTGGTTTGGTTTTGATTTTAATCAATAATTGATCCAAACCGAACCACGAACACCCCTAATTTTAAATTTTGTAAAAAAAAAAAAAGTTTTGCTCAGTGTGAAGAGATTATTCAGTTCATTTGAAAGGATTATATTAAAAAATAACTAGTTATTGTTGTTGTTGATTAGTGTATCTTCATAAAATTATGTGTATTTGAAATTTTGTTAATTACAAATATTTATTTATAAAAGAAACATAAAGATAAGTGATTTATCTATGCGACGTCTTATGAATTTATAAACTATAATTTGCTTATTTGATAAGATTGCATAAGAATTCAGAAAATTTCAATAGTTTTCATAAATTGTGAAACTTCAGCTTCATATCAATCTAATTTCATATTCATGTCCAAATGATCCCTCATATAATCAACTATTTTGTACTTTATTAGTCAGATAATAAGATGATTTATCCTATAAGTAGAGAGTAAAAGAAAAGGAACACATTGAAATGAGTGGTATAGACTATAGAGTAGGGATGTGTTTGATACCAAGAAAAATATATGTTTTGATCCGTTAAAATTTTATTTAAAGTCGATCCAACTAACTTTAGAGCAGGGGATTTCAACCCTGTAAGTTCATTCACCATAAAAAAAAAATTGAAAAGTTATATGTTAAGTAGATATTTAAAAATAATATAATTGAAACATGTTTATTTTGTGGGTTTATTATTTAATAGGTAAATTTAATAAAATATTATAATACAAAATTGAATTAGTCTCATCATGAAAACTTGTTGGGAGATCTAAATTAACAATTTAGTGACAGTAATTTAAAGATCTAACTAAAATATAGAATGACAGAAATAAGAATTACTTATTTAAGTTTACTAAATAAGAATGTCAAGTAAGAAGATTGTGATAGGGTGGATGATATTAATGGTGGAAAGTGGGGCTAATGAAGTCCAGTATCTAAATGGTCAGATGAAGGGTCTTGGAATTTCTCAAACCTTAATATTGCTGTTAATTTTTTAAATATAAAGCAAAAATTTTAGTAATTTTATTGTCATGTCTTGCCTATGATAATTTTTTGAGCATTATCTTGCTTGGAGCCATGGACAGTATAGCTACTTTACTTTGTTAGGGCCTCAAATTGACAAAATTATTCGAAACTTTCAATCAATGTCAGGCAAGTCCTGTGTTTTGCAATTTGAAAGTTCAAACCATATTACAAAAGATAGGACTTGCATGACATTGATTGAAAGTTTAAGATAATTGTCAATTTTTTTCCTTAAATTAATGGGATTGAACGTGGGGCGGGTATCGGGTTATTAAATGGATCCGGGTTTGGATTAAATTTAATTTGTTTAGGTTAATTACAAATAACCCAATGAAATTGTGCCTCATAAGAAATGAGAAATTTAATTCTATTGTTAAATGTAGCTGTAAAAAATAAGGATATTTCAAGGCCAATAGGTTGACATCAAGGGCATTTTAAAGCCGAAAGGTAAACGAAGATACTTTTATAGCAAATCTGATAGTTTAAAGGTATTTTAGGCCTTTTTTGGTAAATATAAAGAAGCTAAAGTTTATCAAAGAATGTGTGTTGTCTACTAAATACATAATTCAAAAAGAAGATACACTAAAGTTTAATTGCTAGCGTGATGGCTACAACACGAGTGTACAAGCTTGAGAGATATGGAACTACACTGCAGATATATATAAAAACTAATAATCATTTTCCCCTCTACTCCTCACAAGGTCCAAAACTGCAAGGCATATTACAAATGGTGACAAAAGAACAAAAACAAGCACAATAAGGGGAGCCGCTGAAATTTAATCCACAACTCATTTTAAAATATAATAACAACTAGAGTGAGCCAAATTTATAAGGAATGAAACAACAATGCTTTCTTCAATATTATGTTCGTCATTGACAGAGCTATCAACTCAACACACACATCAAAAAAAAAAAAAAAACTTCACAAATTGGTAAGCTAATTGCAAAGCATTCCTCACAACAATCAAGAATTTCAACTTGAATTTCTGATTGATTGTTCGAACTATTACATTAAGTGTCATCTATCGGTAAAGAATAAGAAACGAACAACGTATTTTTCTAGTAAGATGAATTCATACAAAGCCAACTATATCCATGGCACAGCAAACAATTTCACAACCTTAAAAGTTAAATGCCAAAAAAGGCATACATATCTGTCTTAGTTATGGTGAAGAATAACGCTCGACACAGCTGGATTAACTTTCACCACATTTGCCTGAGACAAGAAAATTATCAATGATATAAGTAGGAACTCGCTTATAATAACTGATGCAAAATATTGGATATATTTTTCCAGATCTAATAAGGTACACAAAACCATAAAATGGAGTTTCAACAAAGTCACACATTGGTATTCCCAATAAATTACAGAAGTACAAGGCATAGACAGGAAAGTGAAAGAGGGTCTGCGTTTTGCGCATAAGATCATTTGATCATAAGAAAAATATACTTCAATATTAAAAAAGACGTTTCTCAACTCATTTGATCAGACAGCAAGAGAAATAGCCTACAACAGACTAATAGTAATGAACACAAAGTGCAGTAATTCAGGTTAACCTATAACAGAGTACTATGACTATCACAACCAAACCATATGTATTATGTAGTAGTTTCAGTATTATTTCCAAATTCCTTTTTATGGGCTAACAATTTGAAGCAAATTAAGATTCATCTCAATAACATGGGTTACGGGTTCAGGCAAACAAGACTAAAAAACCTATGTTATTTTTCAAACTAGTGATCACTGACAGTCAAACTTTATTTCGCTCACCAGACTAACAATGAGGTTGCTTCAGCTTTCAGGTATATTTCTTCAACCATATTTCCAGGCTCACCTATGGTACACCTTCTTAGCTTTTTATTTCCATTTCTTTCTTCAACCACTTACTTAAAACAATCAAAAGGTTCTCACTTTGCCACTGGAATTCCAAAAACAATCAAAGCGTTCTCATCCCCAGGGATATTCTTAAAGAAAGTTAGGCTCCTTACTGATGCTTTCATTTAAGGCAGGTAAATTGCTGATGCAGCTTTGATTGCTAATGAAGCTCTTGATTGGAAACTAAAAAGTGGGAAGCATGTATTTTTCAAAAGCTGGATTATAGAGAAAGCTTTTGATCAACTAAATTAGTCATATCTTATCTCTATGCTAAGAAAAATCAGGTTTGGTGATAGCCTGATAGGTGTGTCAGATGGATCAAGTTCAGCATCTCTATAGTCAAGTTCTCAGTGTAGGTTAACAGTTCTCCAGTAGGATTTTTAAGGGTCTTAGACAGGGGAACCCTTCCTCTTCATCTTGGCTATGGAGGGACATAAAAAAATGTAGGATAAATTTGTTCAAATGAGTTAGTTAAAAGGTTTGAGGCTGGGGCTCTGGGAACTCAATCACTGCCTCTCACTTACTCTAGGCTGATGTACTTTGATATTTTGTCAAGCAGACTTAACCCAAGTTCTAAAACTTGATCTCACGCTCTTAATATTTGAAGCTTCATCAGATCTTCACCTTACATTGTTGAAGAGTGTGATGTATCCGCTTAGTTCAGTGCCAAATTTGAGTGAACTGGTAGATCTTCTGTACTTCAGTACTTGTATTTTCCCAACTACCTAGTTGGGGCTTCCATTGCTAAATTCAGAGCTATTGGACTATGGATAGAGTATGAAACTTGGAGAAAAGGCTTGCACCGTGGCAAATGCAGTATCTCTGTGGAAGGTAGACTTACACTAGTCAACAGTGTTCCGTGGAAAACATCCCCTTACACTAGTCAATAGTGTTCTGTGGAAAGCATCCCCACTAACTACATGTCTCTATTCCTATGCCAGGTAAGGTTCTCAAGCAACTGGACAAGATTAGGAGGAATATTCTCGGGGTAGGTAATAATAGTTCTCATAAAGTCCACTTTGGTGAAATGGACCAAAGTCACTCAACCAATATCTCAAGAGGTCTGGGAATAAGAGACCTTGCCATTCATGACAAATGCATGACAATGACATGGCTATGAATTTTCTCGGGGTAGGTAATAATAGTTCTCATAAAGTCCACTTTGGTGAAATGGACCAAAGTCACTCAACCAATATCTCAAGAGGTCTGGGAATAAGAGACCTTGCCATTCATGACAAATGCATGACAATGACATGGCTATGGAGGTATAGCCAGGATGTCTCTGGAAGAAAGTGGTTAAAGCAAAGCATGGAACCTACAATCATTGGTGCACCAAAGTTTCAAGAACACCTCCAGGGGTATGTCTATGGAAAACTATTAGCAAGCTATGGGAGGAAATTTCACAGAATAATTTTTCTCAGTTGGAAATCCTAATATTAGTTTCTGTAAAGATAAGTGGCTAAGCAACTCTGTTCTAATGAAAGCATCCGACTATTCCATCTTTGCAGTGATACTAACTCATCCATTTCTCATTAGCAATGGGAAAGCTGGAACATTATATATAGAAGGAATGTCAATGACGGAGAAGATCTCCTAGGTCTCCTAACAAAGTTGGACAACTCAGTGATTAGTGATGCATCAGAATCCAGATAGTCAGAAATGGGGTCATAGAAAAGAAGGAATAGTCACAGCTAAAAAAGGTTACAATCATTATTGTTCCCACAATAGTATTTGGAAACTGATTTGGAGGACAAAGTTACCAATGAAGATAATGTGCTACAACTGGCTAGGACTAACATGGAGCATGCTAGACCCAGGACAACCTCGTCATAAGAAAATTTCAAATTACAACTAGATGCTACATGCCCAGAAATCAGTAGAGTCAATCACTTGCTGCTCCATTGTACAGTTGCAAATGACATTTGAAATATGTTTTCTTCTATTTGTGGATTTAAATGGGGCATGCCACAAAATCTGAAGTAAGCAGGTGAATGTTGGAGCTCATGGAAAGTTGATAAAGCCATCAGGAAAGTCTGGACTATGAAACCAGCCAGCATTTTTTGGATAGCATAGATAGAAAGGAATCGCAGATGTTATAAATGGTGTATCAACTCCAAATCACTCTCTCAAGGCTAAATGTGTCCTAGTTCTCTTTAGTTAAAGTAAACTTTCCCCTGTAAATTTCCCTGAATAGTTTCTGGACTTCGTTAGCTCCCTGCACATAGGTTAGTTTTTTTTAGTATTTGGAGCTAACAGCTTCATTAAATTTTAGCATAGTCTCACTTTTTTTGTCCAGACACTGTCCCTTCTTGTTTGTTTTTTGTTAGTTCCATGTCCTAGCATAGACAAATGTACTGGAGCTAACAGTACTTCTTTTGCAACCATTGCATCTTCTTGATGCCAGCAATGCAACAACTTACTTCATCAAAGAAGAAAGTTAGGCCCCTTGTGACAGGTTACTACCAAAATAATCTGCATCTATTAACAAGGTACTACTAATAAAAATTACTACAAAATAACTTGAATCTATCTTAAATCAGATCAACTAAATCAGGAAACAAGAGAAATATCAGAACTTGGTGTAGCTTTATAGACAATGGTGGTCAATGGAGAATTGGCATAAATTTGAAGAACAACAGGTTGCCAAATGGAGTGTTCATGAAATTTGGTCATTCAGATGTCATGATTTTGCTACTCTGGCTTGACTATTTTTTCCAGCTAAATTCATTTTGACTAATCCATGTATATGAAGTTGCATTTCACTTAGGATTTGAACCTAAGACCGTATAATTCTCCTCTCACTTTCTTGACCACAACGCCACACCCTTGGGTGCATTCAATGCTTCTTTAAAGGTTTTTACTTTTTCATTTCTGCTGTCGGGGATGGTAAGATGCTGGGAGTCACAACTTTCGTGAGAACAATTATCCCATCTGCTTTGAACCAAAGTCACTACTAGAACATGGTGTTACCTCGTAAGATTCATAGTTAGGTGATCAGAACAGAAAAAATGCATCTTTTTACAATCCAATGAATTCTCTAAGGTATCAAATAAGAATGCATCTTTTTACAATCCTTCCTCTACATTCATTGAGATTCGACCATATAGACTACAAAATGGCATACATGTATATCACTATGCAAGTTCACTATAATCTATTTTTCAAAATGAAGAATTAAACTTCAAAGCGATAATCAGTTTGCTTTATTGATTTACTAATCCCAGTTGCCACTCCTTTCCTACATCCAATCTCCACCATCACACTTATGAACAAAACATACATGAATTTGTGATAGTTGCTGAAAAATTAAACTAATTGCAAGTAATACGGACAAAACTTAACTTTTCTTCAAGAGAAAACGAAATACATACCTATTGAAGAGCTCAGAAGCAAATCGAAACCCGTTGTAACACATAAACCATAGCAACACAAGCACCAAAATATCTAAAAAATGTTAAGAACTCCAGATCCAACCAAAATCTGATAACTAAATCACAGATCAGCAAAATGAATTGAAAATCGATAAACTAAAAAGAAATTTAACAGATCTAACAAAATTGATGAACATGAGAAGCAAAAAAACAAAAAAAAAGGATACTGAAGAGACAACGTTCCCACCAGTCGAGCATATACAAACCAAAAGTAACATTGTAGAGATAAATTTTCCGTTGAACCCAATTCATTTTTCTCCGTTTAAGCAGAAAAAATTTGAATTATGAAGAAGAAATGTGATAGCCTGTAATGATGAATTTGCTTGATCCTGCCGCCTTTTAAACACGCTTAGCAGCCTCCCTATTAGAATTTTCCTCTTCCAGTCTCGTTGTCAATTTTTCTTTGTCGTTTTCCGGTGATCAAATTACAAATTACCCCCTTCGAGCAAGAATATTACACAGCACCCCTTTAGGAGTCGTTTGGTAACTCAACTTATTCATATACTCACTAATTTATACGACATTGATAATTAGATTAAAAATAAATTATAATAATATTTGGTTGATAATTTAAAAATACGCATAGCTAATTTATGTATTGTTTTGCATAACTACTTGTATTAGTTATATTGATTATTTCTTATGCAGTGTTTGGTTGATATATTAAAAATAACATGCATTGAATTTTTTTTAAAATAAATATTTATTTATAAAAAATCCTCTATAAATTTGACAGAAAGAATACGAAAACAATTTTTAGGGGGCAATTGTGTCTTTAGCACGCTATAATGCATGTATTAACAACCTTTGTATTACTAATACAGAAATCATGGATTTTCATATATTAGTTATAAATAACTTAATAGGCAAAATGGTATGGTGGACTCTTGTACTTGTACCCGTTTGTATTGTGAACACTTTTACTTACCCCTTTGTCATCTGAACCCTTACACTTAATGACACACAATATATCAAAACCCTCGACCATTGACCTTACTTATGTGGCACTAATATGGTTGAGTTGACAAGAGAATGAGACCACACGCCTATTAAGGCAAGTGAACATCATATTTAAATTTAAAAAATATTTAAATTAGAAGAGTAAAATAATAAACTTAATAAAGAAAAAAGAAACCCTTCTTCTTCACCCAACGACCTACTTTTTTCAGTCATCTCCATTTTTATCCAACCCTCTTTTTTTCTTTCTTTCATCTTCTTTAGGTGGTTTGGTACACCAGAGGCGGCGAGGAGCATGCTGGAACACTGGAGGCAGTGAGGAATTTTCTGGCCTTCTGGTACGCCGGAGAGGATGGAGAGTATAGGGGGTCCCTGGTGGTTCGCAGAAGTCGTCGATGGTACGAAAAAAGGAAGACAATGAAGAGGGAAACGAGGCTGGTGAGGGGCAAGGAGCTGGTGCGACGGCTTATGGTTTTTGGATTTGTGGAGGTTGGAGAAGGAGGAGGTAAGAAAAATGGTGAAAGTGTGCGAAGAAGATGGAGACAAATGAGAGAGAGAGTATTTGTGGTCTCGCCGGCAAGAGGAGTGGTGGCAGCGGCAACTTTCTTCGGCGATTGGGCAATTTCACGGTGAAAACGGTAGATGATGTAGGGAGACCAAAAATTTTAATTTAAAAGAATAAATTAAAATTTTTATTTTGTAAAATTTGCATAAAAACCTTATGACTTTTTGTCCAAAAAGAAATTATTATAAAAATAAAAAATGATGTGGCAAAATTTACCTGACATGGAATGTGATATCAGCGCGATTGAGAGTCACGATGAGTTGAAAGGGTTCAACAGGTTGAGTTTAAATGAGTTCGAGGGTTCAAATGACAAAGGGGTAAGTAGAAGGATTTACAATACAAATGGGTACAAGTACAAGGGTCTACCAGACCATTTTGCCTAATTTAATACCAAATAAAATGTAATAAACAATATATTAGTAATACACAAAGCTAGTACATGCATTATTTTTTCTAATACACTCTGTCAAACGACTACTTAATCTTATGTTCTTAAATTAAAGATGTATTAAATATATCAAAATATCTTTAATCTTTATTTTAAATATATCATGTGAAAAATTATAAAAGTATATAATAAACAACTACATTTTTTACTTGGTTTCAACTCCCGAACTGAGCCACCCAGGCCGCAAGCGACAAATTTCAATTCGGCGATAAAGATAAATGTGGCGCATTTTCGCGAACAAAGACAGCATAGTCTCCCGGAGGGTCTCACCCGACGGACCAGTAAACACTTTACCTATGCGACAGTCAAACGAGCAAATATATATTTTGTGTAGGTGAGATGCAAGACACAAGACGTTGGTGTCCAAAAAAAAAAAAAAGATTGAATTAAAATGTGTCGATGTTAGTCTTTTATGTAAGAAACAAATGTAGAAGTGAGTTGACAGTTTATCTACAAAGATGTTTGAATAAGTTTACAAGTGGGTTAAATTGATTTATAAATGTTTTAAATTTATTTATGTGTTTGGTAAGCACTTATAAGTTAATATATCAGCTAAAAGTTATAAATAGATCATTTTTCAGTTATAATTTTTTAACTTATAAATATTTTTTGATTTTGATTATATATTTTATTAATTTTTGTTTAATATTTATCCTAAGTCTAAAATATATATTTTTAAAAATGAAACTCTCAACTTTCTCTTTATTCTGTAAATGTCGTTCCTTTTTTATTTTTAATATATGAATACTTTTTGGCAAAATATTCAAAAATATGTAAATCAATTTAATAAAAGAACAATTTATCAGATTTTTTTTTATCGAATATATCAAATGCTTATTAATAATTTCAATACAAAAACTCATATGATTCGAATACATTCCTACTTTACACCTTGCAAAGTGTTTTACATTACATCTATCTATCTATTCACGTTTATTTTGTCTGCCATCTTGTATCTTATCTTCTTTTTATCTTGTCCATATCTTATCTTGTATGTCTGCTTCTTATCTTCATCGTCTTCTTTTACTCTAAATCGACATCTGGAATTATGTTATCTTCTCCGTTGCATTTTGAACATATGTGGTCAGCATATTTGTGACCAATTAGCTTGCAATATCTGGTTAATAACTCTGCCAAAATAAATCCTGTTTTTAGTGCTCTCATCATAGGTCGTTCTTCTGGCTTAAGTAATGACAAAATCCATCTCTGGACTTCATCCATATCTGCTTTCCTTAGATCCCTTGAAATGGAATAAATCATTAGTTGATCTCTTGCATAGTAGCTCCATATAGCGTTTCCGTTTAAATAATTATTGGCTAGCTCTTGTATGATAGTTGATATACCAATTATTCTTTTGTTGGCATAAAAACTTGGTATCTCTATTTTGCATATCTCTTCTTGTTGTCCGATGTCCTCGGGTATAATCATATCTTTAGTTAGTCCTATCTTGATAACCTGTATTGGAGGTTTTATTTCCTCATATAATATCTCCGCTGGTGCTGTATAGAATTTTATATAAAATAAATTTCCTTTTGTAACTCTTTTGTATGTGACGAATGCCTTGTGTAGTTCTGATATTCCACTAACTTCTTCTCTGTCGTATGTGTATACGGTATTTAACAGTCCGTAGTTGTAACATGTTCTTACTAAATTAGCATTAATTTTTGGCTGTGCAATTAACTTGTTATATCCTTGTAACTTTTGTGTCAAATAATCCTGATTTGGTTCTTTTGTAGTTGATCTGGGGTTAAGGTTTAAATAAGTTTGGATTTTGTGTATATTTTCGATATAGGTTCGTGTGATGTAGTTATATGTCTTTTCTCATTTTGGTTTTGCAAACTATCTGCATATGTAGATGTTTGTGGTTCTATGGACATATGTCTAGGTGTCCTTTGGGTAAATGGTTTTTCGAATAACTGGTTTAAGTTCGCATTTTTATGTTGTTTATTGCTAACTTGTTTGCTTGTACCTGCAGCTGTATTTAAACAAACATTATAGGTTTTAAGGAGTTTCCCATCGTCTCCTTTTAGCTCTGGGTTTTTTCCGTCTTCCGATCGACGTAGCTCTGCAGTTTTATAGTCATGCTGCTGACTAGATTTAAACTTCAGATTATTTTCATTAGTCTTTAGTTTTTGTATCTCGTTGTCCATACTATCCATTTTTATACAAAGTGTAGTAATAGCTTTGAGTATCTTTTCAATTGTATCTTCTTCCTCAGTCTCAGTCTGAGTAGCTTTGTCGTGATAAGTAATCTGCAATAATATTCTTATCAGTTTTTATTACTTCAATTGTAAATGTAAAATTTAATATATTTAATACCAATCTCCTTATTTCTTTTGTTGTTACCGAATCTTGTATTTTTCTTTTTAGCCACCATTTTACTTGTGTATTATCTGTTCTTATAATGAATTTGTTATATACAATATATGGTTCAAATGATAATAAACACTTATCTACTGAATATAATTCTTTTCTATTTATTTCCCATTTTATTTATGTATTATTAAATGTTCCTGAATAATACCTGCAATGATGTTCTATCGTATTGCCATCATACCTGTATTTTAATATTCCTCCATAACTTTTTTCACTCACATCTGATTCTATTATTTAAGTAAATTTTTTGTTTTTATCTGGAAATTATAGTTTAGGTAAGTTTTTACATAATAATTTTACCTTTTGTATTTGTATTTGGTCTTTTTTATCAAACTGATATTCTATATCTTTCTTTAATTTTTGTTGTAATGGTTTTAAATTATCTGCTAATTTTGGTATGTATTCTCTTACTTGATTTACTAGTCTTAAGAATGATTGTAATTTCTTTTTTGTGTCTAGTTGTTCATTTGAGTTAATTATTTTTTGTACTATATGTGTTTGCATTTTTATTCCGTTTTTATCAATTTGTATTCCTAAGAATTCTATTTGATTTTTCATTATATCTGTTTTCTTTTTACTTAGACTTATACCTGAATATTCTATGATGTGTATAAATTTTTCTAATAATCTTATATGTTCATCTTGTGTTTTGGAATATAATAATATATCATCAATGTACACTATACAATTTTCTATTTGTTTAAAGTAGTTGTCCATAAAGTGTTGATATCTACCTGGTGCGTTTTTATATCCAAATGGTAATACATTCCATTCATAAAATCTTTGTGGTACAGTGAATGTTGTTAGTTTTTAGATTCTTCTTCTAGTTTTAAGTGATAAAATCCTGATTTACAATCAAATTTGCTAAAATAATTATATCCTTATATTTGTCTTATCTTTAGTATTTTATTTGGTATCGGATAATTATATGTTT